TGCTGGCTGGAGTGAGCTGGAGCGTCCCACAAGCTGGGGCCTCGACATCGATCGGGCCCCGAATGTCAACACGACAGGGGAGATCCCCGTGGCCGGCAGGTCACCCCCGGGGAGTCAGCTCCGTAGACAGCGGCCCCACTAGGCCTCACTGTGTGGGCCGGCAGTGCCACCGGGCGTGACAGAGGATCATGGGATGTGATTGCCCACCGGTCAGTGAGATCCACACCATCCTCTGTCGCACTGAAGCCCCATCCCTCATTCAGGATCCCAGCCGTCCCGGACACTCGCTGTTCTCCCCCTGCGCTCCGGCACCATGAGAGCACAGAGCACCAGGCTTGAGGGCAGCTCCTGCCCTTCGGCCTCGGGCGGCCCCCCTGCGCTCCTGACACCAGCTACCACCTGTTTCTCGCTCTGGTTGGGCGCTGACTGGAGCCCCCTGCTGTAACGGACTGTCCACTCCGTGTGCTGCTGTCTGTCGGGCTGTGTCCTCTGCTGTCCTCTGCTGTCCTGAGGGACGGTCGCGGACGGGAAGTCCAGCGCACACGCACATGTTCAGCTCCTCTGCTAACCCAGCACCGGGGGGGCTCTGTGGAAAGAGACCGGGAGCCGGAGCAATTCGCCCGCAGGAGGACCGGGAATGGGAGGGGCTGTGCTCCTGGTGGAACAGCGGTCTCTGTGGGATCATCCCGGAGCCCGGCGGGGTCGCGCACATCCCTCAGGTACAGAGAGGGGGCGCCCTGACACGCGTGTGTGGAGCTGAGACCCGGGCCTCACACTGGAGTTTATGGCTCGCTGGTGGGCGTTCACTCCCCCCCCCCAGCTGAAATACCGCGCGGCTACTCCGTGTGCGGAAACAACAAGCGCGTGTGCCCGCGCACAGTACAGCGCGCGTCTCTCCTCTCTGGACGCGCGGCGCGCTCCCGTTTCTCTTTCTCCTTCCGTGCGGACGAGCCGGATCGCGTCGCTCGACGCCGAGAAAATGGTCACCGCGCGTTACCGACGGCGTCGACCGGCCTAAAACCGTCGAAGCATCTTTCTGGCCGACCCCCCAAGAAAACAAAAAACGACCCAACCGTTTTTCAGGTCACCGCCGAAGGAAGGAGCGGCTGGGGTTAAAAGGGACTTCTTCTGCAGTGCAGGGGTGAAACCTGACGCATCTCAAAGCGCTTTGCAGTGCGCCGCGTCCAAACAGGGCTGCGATTCGCCCGGGGAAGAGTGACGAGAGGCACAGGAGGCAAAACCGGGCAGCAGGCACATGCAGAAGCGCTGCAAGGCGTGGGTCAGTGCTCGATACGTGTCAAGTCTGTGAGCTAGCGAGCACCCAGGAGATCTACTCAGCTCGATGCCTGAAGAAGGCCAGGTCCATTCTCAAGGACCCCAGTCATCCCAGTCACAAACTGTGTTCTCTCCTACCGCCCGGTGAACGGTACCGAAGCGTTCGGTCCAAGTCCAACAGATCACGGAACAGCTTCCACCTCCAGGCAATAAGACTGCTAAACAGCCAGCCTGCAGCTCCTTCAGCAGATCACCCGGAATGGCTACACGGACACACAGCTGTCACTGTGTTGGGCACACTGCACCGCCTGGACAGAATGTACTGCACACACCCTGGACACATCGCAGCTCGGTTGATATTGAGCTCTGCCCGAGTTTATTTTGTTCAATTCCTATTGCACTCTTATCTATAATTATCTCACCTTATGTTGTAACTTTAATTTTGTGATTTTTATCCCCCGTAGAAAAGACAGTTCACTGCCAGCAACTGCTGCTGCACGCGGTATCGTCGTGCATTTGATCAATAAACTTTGATTGATTGATTGAAGACAGCTCAAACGTGTCAGAGCCGTCATCCTTTACACGTTACACGATAGTAAACCCCTCCTGATCGCGGTCACTGCGCCGCACTGCGAGGGGGCAAGTGATTTAAACACGACATTAAAACGACACAGGAGCGAGTAAGAGGTTTATTCCGTGCTGAAAAAGAGAAGAAAAACACAACGTTTCGGCTGTGGAGCCTTCTTCGGGTGCACCCTTCTTCTTCTTCGGCACACCCGAAACGTTGTGTTTTCTT